AGTTGTTAAGTCTGTAAAAAAGAATTTTTTGAGGAAGAGGAAGAAGTAGTATTTTATTTATTTTTTTAGACTTTAGAAACTCAGAAGCTGATCAAATATCGGGTTAAATATCGGTGGGGTGGCCGATGTCCGATATTCAGCCGATACCGATTATATCGTGCATCCCTAATATATTGATATATTTCAAGATATTTTACATTTTAATTTAAAATTAATTATAATTTATTTTTTTTATGTCGTAATCAGGGCCATTGGGTGGGTGGTGCGGCGCCCTAGCGCCCTCTATTGGCCAGCCACTGCTGGGTAGCTGTACTTCCAGATTAGTTATAAAAAAGAGGAGAAAAAACTAACAATAATGAAACGTTCAGACATAAAACCTGCTTAAAATATTTATCTAAATTGAATTCTCCTTATTTTAATGACAGACCCGGACCAAAAAGATCGACAATTTTTTACACCAAGATCTCCAGAAACTCTGAAACATTCAGGCCGTCCGGTTCTTTCATACAAGGAAGAAAAACAACAAACATTCTGGTTTAATTGGTTTCTAATGCAGATTCCATCATGGAGTCCAGACTGGCTGCCGCTGACCGAACCCAGCTCAACTTTTCACATCATCCTCTCATTTAGTCATTTTGGTACCCAATAAGGGTGTGCAAAATAATCGTCATGACGATGCATCGCGATTCTAATTTTTGTGATCTATTGCATCGATTCTTGAAGGCAAGAATCGATTATTAAAAAAACAGAAAAAAACAAATAAAATCCATGAATGGTTGGCGCACATCAGCCAAACCAAGTGCAATACAACTTCCAGTCCAGCAGATGTCGCTGCGGATGTGTTGACACCCGCTGCTTTGTGTCACAAGCATGTCCGGCCGCGGGATACTGAGACGAGTCATTCGTAAACAAAACATGGAGGACACTATGAAAATTCGGCTCCATCACATTTCACGTCAGATGTTTAGATGCATTTTAGCTTTAAAAACAAAGAAGGTAAAAATTAAATTGATATTTCCAAAAGGGGAAATATACATTTGAATGTTTTCGTTTCATTGGTTTAAAGGACCACTGAGGCCATGTAAACGGCTCTGATTATCCTTATTTTGTTATTTTAAGTTTGATGAATCCTCAGATCTTTTTGTCAGTGTGTCCACGCCAGTAACAGTAATATTTCTGTCCAGTATTTGTTTCCATGGCAACACCTCCAAAAGTCATTTCAATAAATACAGCTATGTATGAATTAGGGCTGCAACAACGAATCGATAAAATCGACTTTTAAAAGCGTTGGCAACGAATTCCATCATCGATTAGTTGTGTCGCGCGATTACTGCGTCATCCGCCGCGCCGTCATCACTGCCACTTGACTGAAACGGGGGAAGAAGAAAAAATTACGGCAGAGCGAGCCAGCGCCGTAGGTGCAGTGTTGCCAACTCAGCGAGTTTGTCGCTATATTTAGCGGCTTTTCAGACCCCTCCAGCGACTATTTAAAAAAAAAAAAGCGACTAGCGACAAATCTGGCGACTTTTTACGGTGTCACTGGCGGCTTTTGGAGACTCTTACGTGAAAGCAT